CCTAATCACATTATTTTCCTGCAACGAAAACAAAGCCCAACGTACCAAAGAAATTCCAATACAGAATAATATAATGAACTTCAAAAAACTATAATCGTATGTCAGAGCTTTCGTTTCTTGGGCCCCAAAGGTCCAAGACAATTTTAACTGCACCCTTTTATATCTACACTAATAGATCACATTGAACACCTGCTTGCACACTAGATTAGCAACAGCTCAAACAGTTTGCCTTGGCTTAATAAAAACATTAACACTCTGTGCTGGTATTTCTTTTGCAATACTGAGGAAGAAAAAGCAACAACTTGGCTAGAAATCAACGTATGCTGGAAACACTTTCTGGAACAGGAAACAAAACAAAGCAAAGTGGTGAAGAGACTTTGTATGTGAGGATTAAAAAACCATCATAAGTGGATAGAAGAGATGATTGCTTCACAGACACAACACAAATTAGTTTTTCTTTTGCTATTATATCAGCTATCACATCAATTATTTTCAGTGGACAAACGTAAATGCTGTTCACTTTTCAAGGCCATAAATGAAAATGCTCCCATGACCACATAGGTTTTGGTTGTAATGGCAGGTCAATGATGTAAACAAAGTTGTTAAACCCAGTGATTTTATGCAAATTTAGTATACTGATGGTCAGGAAAATGCTAGACTGCCACATTCTTGTGATCACTTCAGATTACAACAATTCGAATCTGCTGGCATTCTTCAAAATAACTTAGCAAATAAACAACAACCACGCACTTTTGAATTACCATGGTAATTTTTTAACACCATCCACTTTGTTTACAGGAAAAAAATAGACAATTTCTGTTGTGGTAGTTTAATTCATCCATACGTTTTTTTGATCAAAGTTTTTTCTTTTCTATAGAACCATGTATAAAAACAGTAGAAGCAAGGAGTCAAAGTCAGCATAATCGTAAAAGTTGCTTTTCTGCAGAAAACCTCAGTAAAAAGGTAATCAACCTGCACATGTCAATGGCTGCAAAATTCAAGAGGAAAGAGGCCTGGAATTGTGAAAGGAATTAATCATTAACTAGTGCGATGCATTCTTAGTCCTAAATTATTTAACATTTATATCAATGGGCTCAAAAAAGAATGAAAACATCATTGAATAAAGGTAGCACAGAATCAAAGACCAGTGAACGACATGAGACTTGAATGCTCAGGGAGGAGCATGGTTTCTGTTCCAAGGAATTCAGAAAAAAGGGAAAAGAAAATAGAGAAACAAACAAAAAAAAAGAAATTAAATGTGTGGGCTTTTTTTATTTCACAGAATATGTATATTAAAAAGATAATTTCAAAACAAAGGTTTCAGTAGTTCCAATCCACAGCAGACCCTGGATTCCTGGAGCTTCAATACTCTGTGTTATGGACATGGGAATAATTGGGCACAATTTGATGGCTCATAGCCCTTACTCTCTGGTATTTCATACTTAGGGTTGCTTCACAGACATAGATTATTCAGCAAGCATACCCAAGAAGTCATATGTTTCAACATTGCCACCATACACAGATTATTCAGCAAGCATACCCAAGAAGTCATATGTTTCAACATTGCCACCATACACAATTTTATATATTTAAGAACAAAGAATGTAAGATATAAATTATTAGACTGGGAATACAGTCTTGCAAATCAGAGATTTGGAAAAGTGACATTACAGAAAAAATAAACCCAAAACCAAGAAATAAACATATTCTCACACCAAGTCTATGGTTAAAATAGGTAAACAGCCTTTAAATACTTAAAAAGAGAGGTAGTGAACTGGAATAGAAAGGTTATATTACCTTTCTATCCAGCTCCTGGAAATTTATGTCCTGTTCTGGCATACGTACTGTAGAAAGGATGCTTAGAATACTTAGGATACTTTAGGATTAAATACAAGGAGCTGAAAGAATTATGAGAATAATGAAAGGATACGAAAACCTCTCTGATGACAAACCCAGTATGCTCATTCTATTTCCTTTAAGCAAGAGAAAGCTACAAAGTGATTTGATTATAACCTGTAAATTCCTACATTGGCAGATAAAATTCGGAAACAAAAGACCTTTGTAAACCTACCTGGAAGATAAAGTTACATTTATAACTAAGGCTGGACTTAGAAGCCAGGTAAACACAGGCTAACAGGTGAAAACTTTTAACAAGAAGAGCAATCAGGCACTGGAAATATTTAACAAGCCTGGTGGAGTATTCTTGAGTGGGAATACTGGGACTTAATACAAACAATTGAGGCACTATAGGTACAAGTTCAACTACAGCCATCTGATAGAAGCCACACTTTACTTCAGGAAAATCCACTGGCTTGTGATACACAGGGCAGAGTCACAGTATTCTCTCTTCATCCGATATTCTAGTATGATGAAAACATTGACTTCTTAAAAAAAAAAAAAAAGTAAAACCAACCAAACAAAGAAAACAAAACAAATCAAAACCCCCAGTCTCTTTCACTACTATTAGTGCAGTTTTTGGAGTTACCACCATTCTTCTTCACTGAACTCACACTCATCCAGAGGCTCCCATTTACAGATAATCCAAAGTCTTTGTGAAAACTAGGTAGCTGATGCTTGTGAAAAAATATTTTCTAATAGGATAGCCACTTTTTAGTGATCTTTAAGATGCAATTTGAGCATATAGAAAGTTTTCATTGTTGTATTCGTTATCTACAGTTTAATAAAATTACACTGCAGTCAGATATGAGTTCCTGTGTTTTATCTGTATTCCCCTGTTCTTTATCTGCTCACTGCACTGTTTGTTAAAGATTTTAAGACAAGGTCTGTCCAATTCATTACAAAACCTTTGGCACGGCTATGTGGTAAAGACATATAGCCCCATCTGCAAACTAGATTAGGGTTTCATAAGCCAGTATGCTTGGGTGCCATGACCACAAGAAGGAACTGCACTGTACTGCACGGTGGCAGTCAGGTGGCTTCCAGCGACAGCACCAGCAATAATCAGCTGCAGAGGGCTGTAAATGCTTTGTGAAGGGCTCCTTCCTATTTTTCCAGGGACAAAGCAATGGCCCAAGCTTCCTCTTTCTGGTTATTTCATGCATTTCGCTCCAAAGCCAGTTAGCAGATCAATACTGATTTGTATTCTGAAGAACAAATAACTTTTATTTATTTTTATAAATAAATAAATAAGGTCTCACTAAACTTCCAAAAAGGTGCTGAGGATTTAATGGCATTATAGACAGAGACATCCGTTAATGGCAATGATGCACAAAAAGGATTACTAGACACTAGTGGAATTTGTGATGTTAACAGTTCAGGTGTTTTGTGCACGGGTATCCAAAGTACATGAAAACCACAAAATTTTAAAGAATCTTCCAGTTCCTGTGTACATAATTTATTTCTGTACATAATTTGGAAACTAGATATAATGGGTAATAGAGGAAACCAAGGAAAACAAAGATGGCACCTTAAAAAGTTTTTCTCACTCTCAGTGTCTGGAATTTAAGATCTACTAACAAAGAAATGTCATTGAGAGATGAGTATTCTCTCAATACAGGGAAACTGTTGCAAATTTACCACGCTGTTCTTTACAGAGTGGAAAGTCCTCTGTTACACAAATAATTTTTCTATTTTGTTCTGTAAATATTTGATTTCAAGGGCGCTTGCACTGATTAGATTGCTTCTAAGAAAGATTGCAGACATTACAAAGAGGACAGTCTGGGGACACTTGCCATCTCCTTGGCTTCATGTATTAGGGAAACACTATAAATCAGTCTGCCTTTGCAAATGGAAATCTCCCCACTGTCATATTTCCAATTTACAAAAAGAGCATAAAACTAAAGTTGGAAATAATAATGTAAGCAAAAATGTTTATCATCATACCTAAACTCCTACAAATGAAAAAGAAAGATAATAGCAGCTCTTGAATCTGGGGATCTGGTTTAATTAAAGTGCACCACAAGCACTTACTTTTAACACTAACTGGCATCTTCTCTGAAATTTAACAGATTCACCTACACACTGCAGCACACTAAGGAGTTTTAGAAACCAGTGGACCAAGCACTCAGATGGTGTAAAAGGATGTAAAGGTCCCATTAATTTCAATTAATCTACACCAATTATAATGTAAAAATCCGTAGTGATGTTTTACAACAGGAAATCAAGTTACTTGTCTCTTAAAGGTTCAGTGAAGGTCCACCTGCCAGTTTTTCACAGTAGACTTCCTGACAAGGTCACACTGCCAACTCCTTTAGATTTAGACACTGACAATCTAAATTACATACTATTTGTTAGTATATGAAGATGATTTCAATTATATGTATCGTTTTGCTGTACAATTACTGTGTGTATATTCCTCTACAATGGCATCTTTTACTGAGGTCTAAGATGTAAATACTTTTATGGGGTGAACACGAGATCATATCTAAAATATGATGTGATTTTCTAACTCCATTTTCTTGACACATTTAAACACTACAAGTTACTACATTTTTCCTTCTATATCCTATTCAGCAGAATCCCTTCCTCCACATTTAGTTGAGTTATTGAGGGCTATACGTTAGAAACAGTTACACTCATTACAGTTGCCCTTACCTCAAAGGAAAAACAAATGCCTCTCACAAGTTTTCCTGCTGTTATCAGGCTTTTCAAGTACCTGTTGTAAAGTGATTGTCTGATAAGACTTCGCATATTGCAGTGACATAGATGCTGGAAAGAAGGTTTCTAGCCAGTCTAGAAACTGCGGCTTCCTCCCTGTCCATTAGTAACAAATGTGATATCTCTGTCAAGGCAGAGATATCACACTCCATTTCAAACATGACATCTTCTAGTTAAAGGAAATAAAACACCGTTGTCCATTCCACATTTGCAGCGCAATAAAGAATTCCAAAACATTTCTTTGAGATCTAGTTATTGTCCGAAGAATACGAATCAGTGCAACAGCAGCAGTCCGAAAAAGGTTTCGATGCCACTATAAAAACAAGACAGTCTCTCATCACAGGCACAGAACAACAACTTTTGTTAACGTTATTTTTACTCACGTGGTACAAAGCGGTTTCTGGTCCAGGTGTGCCCATGACTTCTTGTCTCAGTGAGTCCATTTGTAAACTAGGCAACAGCGAGTAATGACTTGGACTACTACTCTTGTCTCCCTTCTTTTTGGACTTTTTCCCAGTATCCTTTTTGCTATTCCTTTGAAACATGTAGTCGTCTTGACCTATTTTCTCATTGCTCATATAGCGAAGCAATGAATTTTCTGTTGCAAGAAAAGTAATTGAAAACATCATTGTGAATTGTTGCATGTATGTTAATACTGCTTCCAAAACATATAATAGTCTTGCTAAGATCTACTGTCAGTTTTAACTCCTCAAGACTATTTCATTAAAAAACCCCATTCGCTTCTTTGGTCGGGATATAATTAAGAAAGCAACCTTTTTG